TGGAACTAATATTAAAAAAAACATAAAATTTTAACTTATTAATGGTTCCACAAAAATTGCTCTAATAAAAGAATTCTTAAAGATAATCATAAACCGAAGCATGCATTTGAAGGAATGAAGATGTACCATCGCATAAATCCAAACACAACCAAGAAATGTCAAAGTGAAATGTCAGAGATATCAACTGTCAAACTTAGGACTTAAGGAAATCAGACATTTCTTACTTTGTAACCTAATATTATGGAACTACTTTTATCTTTCAGGAAAGCCTTGGGGTTTTCTGACTTGACCCACAAAGTAAGGAGAATGGAAGAGCAAATTATATGTAGACAGCTATAGTAAAGGACACCCTTGTTCAACAGGGAAATATGGAACCAACACTGTTGAGTGAAAGAACTAATGCCAAGACTAATTTGCTGTTACAGAGACAAGACTCAGATGTGGAGAGAGTCTAGAAAATGAGCCTTCAACTAACTGTGGATCCAAGGTTAAAAGGAAAGAGTAAAGAAAGTTTGTCTAGTAAAATCTTTTCAGACCAACTCTGTTCACAATCAGTTTTGTACCCAAATCCTACCTCCTCTGAGCAGTGCAGCTGGAGTTGAGGATCTAGTCGGTAATCTAAAGCAGACTCCTGGATAATAATCTGGATCTGGTCTTCACAGTCAGAAGACAGGCGCTGCACGTGACAAAGGGAGACAGTATCAGGCTATCAGCAAATGTCACCTTTTGATTTGGACCCTTAACTCTTGGCTTAGGGAATATATGAAAAAGGTCATGGGACATAGGCATGGTGGCTCATGCCTATAATCAGGAGTTTGAGGCTGCAGTGAACTATGATGGCCAGCCTGGGCAACAGAGTAAGAGACTGTCCAGCCTGGGCAACAGAGCAAGAGACTGTCTCTTGAAAAAAAAAAAGAAAGAAAGAAAAAGAAACTGTAATCTCTGCTACTCAGAAGGCTGATGCAGGAGAATCACTTGAGCCCAGGAGTTTGAGGTTGCAGTGAACTATGAGGATACCACTACACTCTACTAGGGTGACAGAATAAGACTTTTTTTTTTTTT